CACATCTCATCAAAAAGCTTTGTTTTTACAGATGTTCTACCACGTTGTCTCAATATCTCTCCTGTCATTCTTCCAGGTTTGTTGTCGAAAGACTTTAAAGTAACCTCTCGACCTCTTGAGTTACCATCCTCTTGTAGTGGCATTTTCAGACACCAATCCATTCAATACATCATTTCCCACCACTGTAAAACTTTCTATTAGCCTTCCGCGAAAAGCCACACTGATTTTACCAACCCCATTCAGGAACACCCGATTACGTGTGTTTCCTCTTCTGCCACACTTTCTTATTACATACACCATGCACGCACCCAAGCTTACGTGTACGGAATGTACCTCGCTCTGCTATTTAGACAACCCTGAACCTGTAACATCGCACCTTAAAGGACGATTGAACTGATAACTCACCAAAACCCTTCACTTCTGCAATGATTGTATTGCTTTCCCCTTTTTTGATAATGTGCTACTTGGTTATGTGAAATCTGAATAACCCCCTGAGGTGGATAGAGCATCTTCTTTTCTTGTCTTGTCTTGTCTTGCCTGTCTTGAAGTCACATAAGGCAGACTTTTCTTATATGCAAAAAGCGATTGAGCAACCTCGGAGCAAAGCACAAATGTCGATTTGAATACATTTAGGAATCCCTCACGCAGCCTGAACCATTTCACACAGAAACAACGAAACATACAGCAACCTGATATGACCCAATTTAGCTCGTTGAATTCCGAATTCCGGTTCCTTTGAGTAGTTTGGTTTATATTAACTGCAACGACCGCCCAAAAAAACAGAGAGAATCTGTCATCACTCCTTTGTCTACATGAATAATATAAAATTAAATCTACCAACTGCTCTGAACATTTCGCCTTCTTTCGTGGTTTTAAAGGCTATGCAGTAGTTCATACTACATCAGTTGCTGGCTGTTCACCGTTGTCATTTTATGACCAGTAATATACGGCTGGTCGTTTGTTTTGTGTACGTTCGTATCAGTATTAGTGGTAGTCCTAGTTCCCAAAATTTTGACCGTCAACGGCCAGTTTCCAGCGTAGCTAATTCTCAATACTTGTACAGAAGAAATACAATGACATCAGTAAATAATACGATGAATTAAGGAAAACGGAACCGTTTGAATAGGGACGGGACTCACAAGAGCAAACTCTGGTATATGCCAGTGGTATGCGGAAGGTACGCGGAGTCATTCACCTAACGGAACCTTTAAAATAAATCACAAATTGCCTGAGAATGCACCGATAATTGCCAATCCAAACCAGATAGTCCCGTCAGGTTCAACTGGGAAAGGTAACCACACAGCATTGTCTGATATTCATTCTCAACTGACCAACCCCGTCGTTCGGGTGATTATATCATCTGCTTCCACACTGAGTAAATGTAAATTAAAATGAACCTACCGATTTCAGTTCTTGAACGACTTCTGCAATATGTACGACAAACATATCACCGGGTAGAGAAGTGGGTCCTTCAAGTCCTAACAGAATTGCTGTATCTCATATTTAAAAAAGTCAACCCTTTGCTTCCTGTTTACAAAAACACCGAGATCTGGTTCATCCACGCAAAGATGAATGGACTCTGTGGAGATTTTCCAAGGCCTTAAGGATAAATCGATGGAAGTAATTGGTTGTCAACTAGTTGATTTCGTTGTAATCTAATTGTGCTTCCCCATTGTGTTACTCGTCGTTTCCCGGGTACTGGTTCCTGACATGAACCAATCTGAATAGTGTATTCTTCCATGGTGAGTACCACAGTGAGATGCAGCGAACTTGCCCTGAACAAAACTCGTGCATTATTAAGACAATGTGGATATTTCCTCAATCGCGAACAAACCAAGTCCTCTCCGTTTCGAATCAAAACCACTTCCGAGTCTTTTTGGCTAACATTTCACGACAGATTATTCATCCTACGATTTCTGTTACTATGTTAATCAGAAGATGAAACCAATGGAAGTGAGCCTCGTCACTATCTTGACTTTTGCTTCAAAATAATTATTGTGGAAATCGGAATGATTTTCATCAGTGGGGGATTTCTGCAGATTACCGCGATAATATTGTTCCTTTGCCTATTTTCTCACTATATGGCCATCATTGTGGGCTTTTGTTCTCTCCGTCGGCAGTTCGAATTCTCTCCCCCACCACTGGTCATTTCCCAAATTGGTAGCCTTTAATTGGAATTGACTTCCTTCCTAAAATATTACGAGACTGTTTTGTTAATGGAACGGAAGTAAATAAAACAATGAAGCAACCATGAAACGATAAGAACGTAAGTGTTGCGCAGTGATGATGATAACTGTTCGACTTATTTCCGTAATGTGAGTTCTTAGCATCGCCTCTGTACTTGACCAGTGTTTCGACTAAACGTCTAAGCTGCCTCGAAATCAACCCAGGCAAGTATGGATGGTTAACGTTGTACGTATAAACAAAAAAAGTTTGTCGTGACTATACTGGGATAAAAGGCTTCCCAGCGGGTACTTCCGGTTACTATCCAGGTAATATTCTCTTCAGGGTAAGGAAAGAGGAATCCTCGGTACCCCTCTATCAATCCTCCTACGTCTCTTCAACGACGAGAATGTTCGTCGGAGAATCCCAATGAACATGGACATTGTTAGAGATTCCCTCAATTGTCTGGGTTACTCATCTCCAAAAGTGTGAATTTTTTTGGTGCGGGGTTGTTTTATTCAGAAATTTATCATCGAAATTTGGAGATAATGAGCAAAGGCTGTTTTCTTCATCACCCATCTTCACGAGTACTTTTATGCTTGTTATTACTGATATTAGTAATATCATTATTAAGCTAGCCATAAAAAGACAAAACGTTTGTCGGTTGCAATGAGGTTATTTTGCGAAGGACTACAGAACATTTTCTTCTAATCATGAACACTACTTAATTGTGAAAGATATGTGGTTCAATTCTCAATTCGAAGCGATGCAATTCAACTGTCGGAAGATATTCCAAACACTTCTAAGGAAATTCCTGTAATACTGTTCAACTGCTGAAGAAAATAAGACGGATAGATAAACTGAAGTTTCGCGCTGTATCATTTGGTGTGATAAGTCCACAAAATAGGACCAATGTGAAGAAAACAGGTAACTGTTGCCTGTAACAGATATTTTAGCTAACGGTTTCATCCGAGATATGAAACCTGATTTACTTTTGATGGTTAAATGAATACTCCCTTCCTGTGCAGACTATCGTCGACCCACTGACTATGTCTGCTTTCTATCCTTCCTTTTGTTCACCGATTCGTTACTCCGTTAATTTAGAGTATAATAATATTTGATGCTGTTAAAATAATGGATCATTCCGGATAAAGCATTTCCTTCCTAACCGTGAATGAATTTCTCCTGACCTGTAGGTAGAAATCAATGTCACATCACATATATCGTGATTCATTGTGATTCTGAAGAATTTTTTTGATGCACACAACATCACAAGGTCACATGGGTTACCCACAATCTTGTCTATCTCGCTTTTTAACTCTATTTAGTATGAAGCAACGGCATATTGCGTCCACGAACGAGAGACACATCCCAATAGATGTTGACGGTAGCTGTAACATTTGAACGCAAGACCCGAATTTCAGGGACTTACTGTGAAAATATAATCCACACTGAGCACCCCGTACAGTAGTTTGATAAGTCTGATCTTGTCCTAAGCTTTAGGGCTTACCTGCCACGGCAAATGGCCAGTTGTACCCACTTTTCATCCGATAAAACACTCACAAACATACATCCACTCACTTTGTTGCATTTATCGGTCTCTTTCAGTTGTACCTCTCGCCTGGATTACTAACATGTTTGATTCCATCTACTCACTTTGCTATTTAGTCACCAATATCCATGATAATCTCCCGATACACTACCGTTTAAAGCGTAGCATGCCCTGTTCTTCAATCCGTGTTCGACTCGCAAAATTAGTGTTGTAGTTAAACCCAATTAACTATTCTCATTGCGCTCAATTCAAAAGTCACAATGTTTCTGCTCCTTCTCAATGACGAGTGGGGCTTTTCTCCTCCATAATAGAAGCTTCTATAGATCATAGTTCATCATCTGTTTTATCCCGTTCGTAAGGTATTTTCAAGGTGAAAACGTGGAAGATAAATTCACCTGAATCGATGTCAAACATTCTACAAATTGATGCCTACGCTAAAAGCATGCAATAACAAGAGGATTAAAGTGTGCCTAATCTCGTTGGTACTTTCGATGGGCCTGAACTACCTCATCTGACTTTGGAGTAATTTATGATTGACGTGTTTAAGATCTATTCTTCAACCACGTTGAGCAACAGTTTTAAAGGACAACTCTCTAAATGTCGGTCCTTTCTCGTGCTTTATTATAATGATTCGGTCCAACTCTCCCATATGTTATTACTTCTCGTTATCCCCCAACACCTGCGCACTGCTTACAGTTACACCAAGTATATCATTGGACAAAATAATTTAGGTGAATTGTATTTGGTATTTGTATCTGTAATTGCAGCGGCAATGTGACTGTCGTGGAGATCGTTGTGCAGTATCCATTAGTTCAAACCCTTCTTCATATTATGTTTCCAATAGGTACACAATAACTTCACGAACGTACAGCTTTTTTTAAATGTCCGTAATTCTTTTGATTAGAACAATACTTATCTTTGACTTTATCCTTGAGGGAATTTTAAATTACCTCTCGTATATGAAACTATCATCCTCGATATTTATTCCCTTTTCCCGTGACGATTGATTAAAAATGTAGAACTGTCAAAACTGTGGGACTACCACAGCACATTTATTGAACGATAGGTGTGACAAATACAATTACAGATAAAGTTATGTCCATCGCTCTTGACGAGAAGCAAAAAGGCAATGAAACAGAACAAAGAATAGATAAATGAAAGATAATGAAATAAGAAACGAAGTCAGTGAGGGGAGGAATTTATGCCACGTAAATTTCTAATCTATAAACCATCACTGAAAGCTTTCTGCACTCTTATCATACACATGTTCCTAAACTAAATGAGATCACTCACCACAACACGCGTAGACCATAGTCTCACCGTCCGACGTCCACGATCCAGTGTAACTGAGCAAGTCCCAACCGTATTCCCAACACGAACCGTTCTGTCATGAATATTTCGTTGGTAGTGTGTGGAGGTAAAGAGTGGGATGTGAATGGTATACATCTTTTGATGGAGTTCGCTGCAGTTTTAATGCCATATTATGTGCAGGTTATTTATTTATTCAGCAGAGGGTAAGCAAACTATGATTCACCACTCAGTATCAAATTCTCTTCCTAAAACTGAAAATTCACCACACCATTGAACAGCTTTCTCGTATGAATTGATACAAGCATTCCTTTTTGATATAGGATTGTGAATCCCAAACTGTTTCAGTTTGACAATCCTTTAGACTTTTTATTCAGTTGTCTCATAGCGAGGATATAAGATATATCAAACATCTTTCTCGGTAGCTCTGAAAGATAACAGTGCTTCAACAAACTAGAGTAAAATCTGGAGATTGTTTCCAATGAGGGGAGTTTCTCAGAAAACTTTTGGCACAAACAGTCTAAAATGTTTGGCTACTTGATCATTTGCATCAGTGGATGATCTAACCGATTCACGGCTTTAGACCGTGAATTTCGTATAGTCTGCTTTTCAAGTTTTACTCGAAAGACTCAGTGCACACAAAGATTCTTTTGAAAAAGGGGGATGGATAAACAAACTTGATAATACAATAGTCTGTGCTAAAAATTCACACTGGAAAATGACTGTCAGAAAACATCAGCTCGTCAACGTAATCTGAATAATACTGTACGATCGGTATCTCTAGACGAAATTTCTAATGATTACTTATTTATTATACTTACATTCACACAACCAAAACCCGGAGATCCATACGTACGCTGAGTTTCTTTCACAGACTTCAGTACGCAGTTGGTTGTAATTTCGGTAGCTGACATCAAGTCTTGAGGTTGACCGTCATGCTTCATCCAGACTGATGTGCAATTTGATTGCGTCCATGGAGGTTCACAACGCATGGTCAGATACGCATGCTCGACAAGAAGAAACCAAAGTGCAATTGTATGAAATTTGCACTGCGAGTTGGCTCTGATCATACTGAATTCGGTAACAATCTGACGGGCATGAGTTTACTGTGACGTTTTTGGCTGAACTTTATTTGTTTTCATTTAGCTGCTCTAACCAATCAACATGGGGACAATTCCTTAGTTGTGATTGGTCCCTTTTACCGGCTTCGTGTCCGAGGTTTGTGTTGAGTGAGTGATGTTCGTGAACTTCTTCATTATGATTCTGTGAACATTCATCGACGAAGATAACAATGATTTCTCATAAGCTTTCAATCACTCTGTTTAATTTGGCATGCTCGATTCATTTTGTCTGCAGTTTCAATGCGGTATTCAGATACTAATTTGAGTGCACCGTTATTTCGTTTTTAATGAGTTCATTACAAAACTTTACGTAAACAATATTAAGTTATCGACTTAAGCCGTTTATTGACCCTGGAAATTACGATGAAAGCGTGCTGAGGGGAAATTGCATCACAGAAAAATAGGACTGCAAAGGAATTGGTTCAACTTTGAACGACCCGTGACGTCTGTTGTGTATGTGTACAACAGAAAATCAGCCAGAATAATTATGTTTAATACAGGTTGTCATGCTTCTACATGTATTAAAGCACTGATGCAATTGTCTAACATATAAAACTGCTAAAATAATTTACGTGTAAACAAGTAAAATAGCTGTCATCTTTGAGCTGATGATATCGGTCTGACTGATAACAAAAAGTTTTGTTATAAATGCCACGTGAAGTGAACGAACGTCAGCATCTAAATTCAGTGGAGCAAGTTATTTGCTGGAAGCTTCTTGGCCAGAAAAATATTTTATCGTAGATGGTTTCAATTCACAACTTATTAGTTACGGTTTTCGGTTTAGTTCACTCATCTTCTGTCATCACTCGGAAACTTTTCCTGAGTTTCTGAATGTTTTGCCACTCAACATTTATTCAGCAATGGAAGTCTATCATTCTAAACGAAACCAGAATACATTTAACATGAACGAAGGTTTACAGAATAGAGTTCAAATTAATCTATTTGTGATTCACATTGTGCTGAACGATTCGCGAGTAAACTGCCATGTGCGTTTGCATTAGAGTGTGATTACTAATGTGCGTAGTAAGTTAGGGTATAGACAAGTCATTTGTACATCCCTCAATGAAACAATGAACACGTCCCGTTTTGTTGCCGATTGCTTGTTCTTATTCCTTTGTAATCAGTTGTTTGTTTTGGCAATGAAAGATATTTTCCTCATGTGCAACTTGTCACTGCTCTAGGCACGCACCGAGCTAATTTCCGGGTTCATTTTTAGGAAGGTATTCCAGACGGAAATCACTAGTTTCAAAACAAAATATGAAGCTATAAAAAGTCAGTCAATTCACGAGAATATTCAGTGCATAATTAGAACAACAATAAAGATTACCTCCGCAGTCCCAATGCTGATTTACACAAAGTAGGCAGCATTTTTGATGGATAAGAAATGCTGCACAAGTGCTTCATTGCCTAATGGAAAAGCAACTGTCCACGAACTACGTAAACGTGTTTTATGAATTTTCCTTTGAAAACAACATGGCTTCTGCCTCTCTGCTACGATATCCAAAGTGCGAGCAGATTTTGTAGTCCTATATTTTTGTCTTTCTTTATGTATCCTTTTATTCAGCATTTGTAAGATATTTCAAGAAATGAGAATCAGAGTTTGTCGGTGATAAACTTCAAAAAGTCACTGTCCAATGTGAATATGGGACTTCAGCTAGGTGATCGGAATTCTGAGCGTCAGATCAGCGCAGACCTAAAGGGCCGAACCGAAGAACTTGGAAAACCCGGATCAATATTACTTGTTTCATAAAATCTGTATACAACCCTTTGTTGAGTGAGAAACTTTTGACAGGCATGGAAGTTTGACGTAAGTCTAAAGGCCTGAAATATACTGGTGATACAATGTCAAATGCATCACGTTGGAAGGAAACAGAAACTCAACGCCTGTCAAATGATGATGGTATAGAGGTGAAATTTGATTATCTGTCTTCGGTTAGCCCAACAAAACTGCTTCCCACAAAGTATACTCTTGACATTTTTTAGATTATTTGTGATGACTTGTAGATAGATTTTGCCATTGAATTTTCTTCCTAGTTAACGACTGATTCAACCAAACACGAATTAGAAAATTGCTAACGTTCCTTGAAATGTACCCACCAGAATTCAAAGTCTCAAAATACCCGATATTTCTTCACACGTGGGATACAACTAAACGATAATATTATTACTGCCAATCATTTTTCCGTGAAAAGAGGATGTCCATCTTGGTTACCAACTGTGGGAATCACTCAAGGTAAACTGTACACTTCCGAAATAGATCAAATTTACTAATCAAAGAGTTTCCTGTACTTTTGTGTTTAAAATTAGGGAACATCCCCCTACTAAAAGCGAACAAAATAATAAATAACACAATAATATTCCAGTCTCAAGTTCAACTTTCATAATTTTATCATGATGGCTTCAAAAGGAACAATCTTGCCGATGGGGGCTAAATCACGTTAGAGGCTAGTGTTCGTATTCTTCATTCAGCCAACAAATTCTATGTTTTTGAGAATTATCAATCATCCGGTGATCAGAATTCTTGTTCACTGATGATCACAATTTAAATCAGCATATCCCGTGATCGAGCAATTTGCATAGAGAAATCAGAAACATATTTATATGATTTTTCTAAGCGGATGTCCACATTTCAGTGAGACTGATCCCTCAAACCGTCAGTTGGGATCGATGATAATCACGCTTTTCATTCTTGAAAAGATAGCAATCAGTTCCAATGGATGGTTGTGATTATTAATTTTGCTGGTTTTTTCGTTCACCTATTAATAGTTTGAATTTTGTGATACTTCATCCAGTTTCATGATTACAAAGTCCCGTATCTATTATTACTCTGCGCTGCAATAAAACTAATTAAGAATTCAAGTGAATTTTGAGGTTAGATGGGATTTGGGAGTTTTATCATTTGGATTTTACTAAAGAAAACTAAATTCTGATACATTTACAAAAACCAGATAAATAATTCAAGTTGACTGCGTTCTCGTTGCCATTCGTGATTGGTCAGATGTCTTTTTTCAAACTAGACGATACCGTGTCATTTATTGTACAAAATAAGAGGCACGAGATTGTCTCGAATATATTTACCAGTGTGGTGTAGTGTGTATACTATTTACTAATTACTGAATAAGCAAGTAGTTAATTTTATCATCGAAACCCCTCAGGAGTGAACATCCCTTTCTAGTGAACACGGCCTTCGGACAGCACACTTAAATGCAAATTGAAAACGTCTCTTGATTCTCCGCTAGAGAAAGCTCGTAGGCCCTTGTGACAAGTGTCAAACGTAGAACTTAAGTACGTACGTGTGAATATCGTAAGCCCTTCAGGCAGGTCTCTGATGGTCATTGTAGGGATTTGATAAATAATGACAGCGGATGCTCAAGAATTCTGAGTAAGCTACCTACTTTGCTGTACCCGTTCGACGGTCATTAGCACCTGCCTTGGGGGCTATTGCAAATGTACTTTTTAGCTTTTGATCTCTACTGGAAAGCTTGATGGATACATTTCATATAATCATTAAAACTTTCACAACACGACAGTAAAACCAATAAGAGCCCATAGTCAGTCAACCAGAAAGATATTTTTAGGCCTTGATGATAAGGGTTAATAATTTGCACGATAATGGAGTTTCCGTGATGAGGATTGCATCCCAATTCAGTAATAGAGAGAAAACAAGATCACATAATTGTGATAAATGAGGTAAGCATTAAAACTAGTTGAAGCAAAGGAGCTTCAAGTCAGCAAAACACTTGGCATTCATGTATCAGTTACTTCAGAGATATCAGTAGTGCTGTATACGAACTGTTTCTCACATGGTCCGAATCATCTCTCAGCAAAAGAAATTTTACACCAGAATCGTGTGTGGAATTTAAGCCAGAAAGTAGAAAACATGGAAAAGAAGCTAGTTGTATACCGAAGATAACAAAGTAGAAAATAATTAATGTTGGGTTCCTTTCTGATAAAACAAATTAGTTCTGAAATTTTGTTTCATGTCCTGTTACAAACGCTATGGACACCAGTAATCTCACCTGAAACTTGCAATAAGTTTAGTGGGTGCTGACAGCTAGTCCTCACTACTTAACCACAATTTTTGCTATTCTATGAACATCCCTGCCAAGAGCGAACATCTCCGATGAGAGAACAGATTTGATTGTTCCTAATGATGTTCAACCTAGAGGTTAGTACTATATTATTTGGGAGCATTTTACTGCATTCTTAATGGTGCATACCACAGTCAAGTTGATGGAAGACTGCTGAGATACTCGGAGGCACTTGCAATCATCCATCAACACCCATAATTGCGCAAACAACAAGATTGGCTGATTACGTCAGTCTTAGTGTGTTTCTAATTGCAAACATTCGTTGGAAGATCCACGGCTTGTACTTTTGCCCTTCGTCTAATAACAATGCTCAATTCACTTTTTAAAACTATCACCATGACTACAATATGCACTAGTGGTGATACAGAAAAATGCTCTGGTATATACCGTACTAACCGAAGTTATTTTCCTCTGTTTTCAAACCTGTGTAACGAAAACTCTATTTTCAGTTCGGTGGTGGCCACTGTGATAAGGAACGATATATAACAAGGTGGATACTTCAATAATATTAATAGAGTGAGGATTTTAAAGTGAGCTATGAGGTATTGATTGACTTGGGGGCTCCATGCAACTGGCTGTCAACAACATAGCCAGTCCATTTATAAAAAGCGAGTCCATCTTAGTTTCTGGAACACTAACAGTGAGCTTTAGTAAGTTTAAACAGTCATTTCAGCTTCAAATAGTGGAGTCACAATTTGCAGGTAACCATATCATTGACCCTCAGGTGAGAAATATTTTATTTTGCCTAAATGTACTTAGAAAACAGCTACTAGAATATGCTCCAGTAGTTTAAACTTAATTTCGGATTTCTACCGACTGAACGCATTTTAGTTGCTGTAAATGGCTTCTGGAGATCCG